ACTTTAGAGAACCCTGGACTGTAGGGAACCCTGGACTTTATGGAACCGTAGACTGTAGGGAACCCTGGACTTTATGGAACCCTGGACTGTAGGGAATCCTGGACTTTATGGAACCCTGGACTTTAGGGAATCCTGGGACCGGACTGATCTGTGAGCTGTTCTCCAGAGGTCCGGATCTTCAGCTCCTACAAACGATTCATATTTGACCAAAACAAGAAAAGCTTCAGGTGCAGCGATGGATGGAGCTCTTCTCACCGAGTCCCAGGGCTCGGTTCTGAAGTTCTGAAACGTCTCATGTCCAAGAACCTTCTTCTCTGGATCCTGAAGCAAAAATGAAACATCTGAAACGCTCAGAGGTGTTCCAAAACAAAACCCATCTGAAGCAGAGTCAGAAATATCTACAGAAGACAGAATCGGTCAAATGTTGGACAGTAGGGGGACTCTGATGTGGGACAATGTCCAAAAAACGAGTCCAACGCTCGTCCCTCTGGTGAGAACCTTCAGAGCCTGGTGCAGTTGGAGAAGCTGTCCGACATGATGATGTTCTTGTAGAAGTTGTCGGTGCGCGTGGAGCAGTAACCTTTGACCTTGTTGATCATCTGGCTGACGGGGAGGATGGAGGAGGAGGAGGAGGAGGAGGAGGAGGGGGGAGGCTCCGTGTCGGAGGAGGAGGAGCAGGCTGGGTTGTTCTGGTCGGTGAAACTTTTATCTGCAGCAGAGAAGAAGAGGCTGAGGTGAGAGACGTGGCCTCCTTCAAATCCATGCGGCGAAGATCTAAAGATGAGTCTGAAGTTTCACATCACATTTATGAATTTATTATTTATTATTTATCATAAATTATTTAACTAAAAACACAAAGTCTGACTGACGAGTTCATCTGCAGAGTTTAAATCAACTGCAATGTTCAAAAACATCTAAATGTTCTTCAGGATTCACAAGAACTCTTGTAAAATGAGAAGACAACGATTTAGAAAACTCCTGAACTCAGATCAGACGTTTGAGGGAAGAGCTGAACAAGATCTGATCATCTGGAGTTCCACGTCAGTCCGAGTCCTCTGAGGAGACACCCCTCTTCTAACGTCTGGAGACCTCCAGGACCTGAGGAGACCAGGTGGAGGTTCTGAAGGACCTGAGGAGACCAGTTGTTGGAGGTTTTAGATGATGGATGGTGACTAAATGTTGCTTCAGATGGTTCTGATACGGTTACAGACTCTTGATGCTCCTGCAACAACTTTAAACTGAGGTCAGATTTAAAGTCACCAGATCTTTCCAAGAAAATAGAAGAACTTCTCAGGTCAAACATCTGGTTTGTTAACCCGGCTGAGTTATGAACAAAACACGACTTTATGAGATTTACAAACCGCTATTTTCTGTCTTTATTGACGAAACATCCCACAATATACAAACACAAAAAACTTCATCTTCTGCCATATAAAGTTCTAGATCCTGAAGGTCCCAGTGGCCCAGCTGGTACCGGTGCTGGAGTCCATAAACCATCAGCACAGACCGTCCAGCACAGAATTTATACATCGAAACACAAAACAAACTAACCCACTGCAAACAGAACCACAGAGAAGAGTCAGGATTTATGACCAGAGACCTGAGACCTGAGAACTTATACCAGAGACCTGAGAACTTAGACCAGAGACCTGAGAACTTAGACCAGAGACCTGAAACATGAGAACTTAGACCAAAGACC